TCGGTTATGCAAGGGGAAGGTATGAGCACCCCTCACGTCCGTTGTACTCAACGGGATCCACGCTTGTTGTCTAAATCTATGGGTGAAAACAAAACTATATAAAGGCTGCTGCTAACGGGAGAACGGAAAGAACTGACTCGATAGGACATCACCGCCCTATGCATACGTATTCCCTCGTGCAATGGGAAAGTCAGAGTCAACATAGTTTGGGAAACTACGAGGGAGGTTGCTTGCTAAGACATCGCGTCTTGTGCCTACGTATTCTCAGCTGGCATGAGAAATCAGAGCAAAACATAGTTCAGGATAACTACAGGGAAAACGAGGTGTTTTCGATCGCACGGGGGCGAGAGAAAAGGTCTGGGATAACAGGTTGATCTCAATTGCACTAAGGCGAGAGAAGGGAGAAATTAGTTGTTAGTGTACTCGCCAAGATATCGTGTCTTGTGACTACGTATTCTCATTTGGCATGAGAAATCAGAGCAACCGTAGTTTGGCCAACTACAAGAAAAACGGTGGCGATCGCACAGGGGCGAGAGAAAAAGGGATCTCAATCGCAAGGATGCGAGAGAAAAGGAGTCTCAACCGCAAGGATGCGAGAGAAAGGGAGTCTTGATCGCACAGGGGCGAGAGAAAAGGAGTCTCAACTGCAAGGATGCAAGAGAAAAGGGTCTCAATCGCACAGGGGTGAGAGAAAGGAATCGAAACGGGACGCACACGCTAAATCCTAAGACTTAGGAGCGAATGCGTCGCATATTGCCCAAAGGGCATACGCTAAAGACTCTAGACGAGCGAGAAGAGGCTCCCCACTCATCATTTCCCACGTATCTATCGCTTATGGCTCACAACACTCGGCGGTAAAATAAAAGATTGAAATTAGAAGATGTTACCGAACGGGGTGGTTCCGTTGACCCTTGAAATTGCATGCAAGCTTTGATCCAAGCTTCTCCTCTTTGATCCTTGATGATGATGTTTTGAAATGCAGTTCGAAAGGTTCAAAGTGAATTGGATCGGGTCCAATGTGACGTTAAACCGCCGTAGCTCGACTTATAAGAGAAGTCAAACTATAGGAGATCGTGTATTGATATCCGTGCTATGGAAGAGATAAAGAAATGATATTGAGGATCATTCTCCGATTGAATCGTGTCGCACAGACCAAAAACAGTGGGATCTCGTCTTAATCACAAACAAAATTTTGATTAACCGAAGGTAGCCTTTCGCGATCCCAAAGTAAAGAAAATGACCCAAATGGTCATCTTCCATAGATTTGAAATCGGGAAGGTTATCGACTTCGAAAATCCAACGCTTACGGATACAAGACTTCATCGATCCAAGAAAGTCAAAATAAAATCAAAAGAAGAAGACATGAGGAGAGAAAAGAGGTGGTCTCGGATCCAACATTATTCATCAATAATTTGACTGATAATGGATTACGGAAATGTCGTCATCGACCAAAATGGATGAAATGAAATAAAGTCGAAAATAAGAAAGAAGAGAAAAAGTCGGTCTCGGATCTATCGTTTCACATCAATAATTTGACAGATAAACGACAAAAGTCTCTTCATCGACCAAAAAGGCAAAAATGGAACAAAATGTCCTATAACAAATGAGAAATAAAAACTAAAAACTAAAATATAATGCTCAACTTCTAAAAAAAAAATAGAATGAAATTTTAAATAAAAAATAAATAAAACTAAAACTTAAAAAAATAATATATATATATATATATATATATATATATATATATATATATATATATATATATATATATATATATATATATATATATATATATATATATATATATATATATATATATATATATATATATAACTCTAAAAGAAATAAAATATAGAACTTATATATATATATATATGGATATTTTCTGTATATATATTATATTTTATATTTATAATTTTATATATTATATTTCTTTTAGAAGTTCTATATTTTATATATATATATATATATATATATATATATATATATATATATATATATATATATATATATATATATATATATATATATATATATATATATATATATATATATATATATATATATATATATATATATATATATATATATATATATATATATATATATCAAAAGAAATTTAACGGGGGGGCTGTACAACATGAATAGGGGTGCGGTTCAACCGGAAAAAGGAGGAAATGGGCTCCTCGGACCAACAACAGTTGACTTTCAATAAAAATAAAACAAAAGAAAAAAGTCTAATCCTCTCCTGCTCAACGTCAGCTGATCAACTCTCCTCTCTCATTCTCAACTCAAATCCAAATTCAAAAAGTTGTCTCAATCTTCCTCTTTGATTTCTGTTCATCCTGTTTGGGTTAGATTGGAGGTGTTTGGAATGAAGTTTTGTCTTGTGGACAGAGACTGGCGGGGAGGAGTGATGTGACCAAGGATAAATAGGTCATCCTCCCTTGTTGGAGGGGCAGAAAGGTAAACTTTCTCCCAATGAGGTTGAATCAGGCAATTGGGCCATTATGTGAGCAGAAGTGGATTGGGTCATGCCTAGCCATTGGGACAGTCCAGAACAATATCCTTTACCGAGTATACCCAAAACAACTCAAAAACCACAATTGTCGTCACTTTCAACATTTACAATTCGTTCGGTGTATTTGTGCATAAAATGTGGCATCTCTTCAATGAATTGGATTTTTGGTAATGGCGATAGAGGAGATGGTTTGCTAATGTGAGCACCCTTGAAAACCCTATTTTGGGATTTTGGAGTCAGAGAATCTGGAAAATGTGAGTCATCATGTTCAAAATATGAAGTAGACCGTCTCACGGAGTTGTCACTTTGAGCAGTGGAGGAGCCAGAAAAATTATATAGCCTGGGCAAAAAATTTTAAGACCGCAAATTCATATTATAATATATAAATTGCCTAAAATAAAAGAGATGAAAGAGATCATGAAACATAATCTTACAATAGCATGTTAAATAAAATTACGAGGCAAATTTCCTTTTCGAGACTTCTTTGCTATGAATGTTCGAATAATATCAACATCATCAAGTCACTTGAATATCTCCCGCTCGGTGTAACATACCATCAAGTCATTGAACCACACATCGTTGATCTTATTACGCAATTTAGACTTGATAATATTCATTGCTGAAAAAGCTCTTTTAACGGATGCTGTCGACATCGACAATATCAAAGCTAACTCAATAAGTTTGTAAACCAATGGAAATACCAAATGTTTCTCAGTTTGAACCATCTTTATAGCCAAACTTTGAACATCTTCACAAGTGGAAAATGAAGCATTTCTTTTCACTTGAAGAACATAAGTGTCAAGTTGATCCCTTATTGTTCCACGATCATCATCAGAAAAGTCTACATGATAAATATCAGCAAGACGAGCAAGCTTATCAACATCAAACTTGAAGAAAGAGTTCTTGGGATCAAGACATGAGAAGCAATCAAGGATAATGTTACTTCCTTCACTAAAGCGGTGATCCATCTCCACACATATTTTGTCAATAGCAACATAAAAAATCTCTGCACGGTAATGATGAAGATTAGTGATAGTTCTTCCTTCCACCCTTGAACGACCCCGAACTGGTATTTCGTCATCTATATTTGGCACCGGAATACCTTTAGCAACACAAAATTCTTGGACATCAGCAAATAAATCATCCCAACCACTATCTCTCATTGTGGCTAACCGAGCTTTGACACCATCAACTAATTCCATGGCAATGACAATATTAAGATCTTTTCTTTGCAAGACATGTGAAAGCTCGTTTGTAATACCAAACAACTTTAACATTAACTTCAAAATAACAGCAAATTTAAAGCTCTCCATTTTTTCTATCAAACCTGCTGCTTGAGATGGTCCACGTCCATCTTCATCAAACATACTAAGCACATTTAACACGAAGGACCACATTTGATCCAAACGAAGCAATGTAGTATGATGTGAACCCCATCTAGTATCCCGGATCTAATGAGAGTAGATGATTGGTGCAAGCCCCTTCCTCTAGATATCTCACCACTCTCAAGTTTATTTAAAATATCTTGGTGTTGTGTCTCCGTCAAAACATCCGTCCTCTTACAAGATGCATTTGTTGTGGTCACAATCAAGGAGATGTACTCAAAGAAATCATGAATAGATGAGCAACTACTAGCAACAAACACAACAATCAATTGCAAACGGTAAGCATAACAATGGACATAGAAAGCATAAGGGTTTTCATCTAGAATCTTTCTTTGCAAACCATTAAATTCACCATCCATATTTAAAGCTCCACCATATCCTTGGCCTCGTATCCTTGAAATAGATAACATGTACTTATCAAGAATACCATAAAGAGCATCCTTTAATGACTCAGATGTTGTATCTTTGACATGATGTAGAGCAATAAATCGTTCCACAACATTCCCTTTGTCATTCACAAACCTAAAACAAATTCGACAAGTTTACTTGGCAGCATAAAGAATAATAGGTAATGAAAATTAGAAATTGGAAAATACAACTACTAACCTCAACATCACCGCCATTTGCTCTTTGACGAATATATCACGTGACTTATCAATAAGCACGGAGAATTGTCTATCACCAAGATCTCCCAAAATCACCTTGGTAACTTCATGTGCACAACACATTGCAAGCTCCTTTTGAATGTCACCGGAAATCATTGTGCAATTTTTTCCACCACGGTCAAAAGCATCTTGCACTTGTTCACTCTTAACTTTTACCCAATCTACTATCTCTCTAAAATTGCCCTTATTTAAAGAAATAGAGGATTCATCATGGCCACGGAAAGACATGCCTTGTGCAATGAGATATCTTGAACAATCTACAAAACAAGTTAAATGAATCTTATACAATTCTTCTGATTTCTTGGTTGCTTTAACAAACTTACTTGCCACACTTTGTTTTTGATTATTGTAATCATCGTAGTACTTGACACATGAGTTGTGAAAACTATTATGACTACCAACATGATCTTTCAAGCCTTGAGATGCATGCTTTCAATCTTTATATCCGCTTTTAGTGAAGACTTCAAAACCAAAGTGTTCGGCCCTCCCGGGTTTCTTAAAGAGAAAGCAATAAAAACAATAAGCTGCATCCTTGATCTCACTATATTCTAACCATGTATAATTCTTATACCATGATTTACTAAATGCTCTTTTAACACTTCCAAATGGAGTACGAGGAAAGCTTGGCAATTCTGGTTGCATTGGACCTTTCAATATATATGCCCTCCTCACTTGATCTTGAATATCCGGAGCATACTCATTAATTTGTTTCCTACGACCTGGATCACGCACAATCTCATTTGGGTTAAACTCAGTAACTACATTAGGCGGAGGTGGTTTTGGTTCTGACTCAACCAAAAATCTCCTCATCTCTGAAAAAAATCCAAACATAATCACTTATAAAATTGCTTAAAAAATTCAAACATAATCACTTAAAAAACCAAGTCAAAAATCAATGAGAATCCAACAGTAGAATAGCATTGTGGCAATTGACCTTTAAGGCCATGACAGAATGTAACACTAGCAGGTTTACTCTAGTTTCATTTAAGTACAATGGAATCTCTTAAATCATAACTTAACATGATTTCATAACACAGTCTGCAACATTCCCAAACTAGCAGAACCAAATTGCTTTCACTAGCTCATTATGAGCTAGTTAATGTTAACTGCAGCCACTCAACACAAAATTCAGTACTAACTGAGTTAACAAATGAACTAACAGTAACTGTTTTTTTCTAGCAGCTAACCTATAACTCATAACCAACTTTCAAACTTAACTAACTTCATCATTTTTCAGAAATAACTAACATCATTCTTGGTATAATATGGCAAATAACATTACAACAACACAATTAACATTTGAATTATACCATAACTAACTTAACTCTATCCTACAACTGTCCATAACAGTTTCATAACCTCCTGTAACTAACAACTTCACTTCTAACAAACAATACTAATAGAATAAAAAACTCTCCTAACAGAATTTCAATTTTATATCACATAGAAAATCTATAGAAAATCCAAAGAGAACTTTTATATCACTTTTATAATAACCTTAGGGAATTGTAAAATTTTTACCGTCATCAATTCCATATTTCCATTCAACCAATTCAACAAATTCAATTCCATTCAACCATTCAACAAATTCAATTCCATTCAACCAATTCAATTGCTAAAATTATAGAAAAAATTGGTTTGGATTCTTCAACAAATTTTTCTACATCATAAAATTGTAGAAATAAGCATAACAAATTGTAAAATTTTCTACTTAAGCATAGCAAATGACAGAACTTACATTGGCTGATTTCAGAACACATTACACATTGAAAGACCGAAAGTGGCGGCGCGCCGGCGCCGACATAGATTTTGGATTTGTGGAGTTGGACGCAGCCACGCAGGGGCAGTTCTTGGACGACGTTGGCAGGATATTGGCGGTGCAGCGAGTTGGACGACGTTGGTGGAATAGTGGCGGTGGTGCGGTGAGTTGGACGACGTTGGCGGAATAGTGAGTTTTGCGTGAACGGTGAAGTGAACCCTTACTTTCTTTTTCTATTCAATTTTCTTTTTCTTTTTCTTTTCCATTTTTTTAAATTTTTTTTTTTTAAACAACAGGAAAAAAATATTAGGCCCCCCAGAGCCTGGGCATGTGCCCAGCCTGGCCGGGACCAAGAACCGCCCCTGACTTTGAGTCAATTTTACCTTTTGAGGGGCACCTTTTATTTTAACCGGTTTCGACAATAGTTCACCTTTGACTTGTTTTCTTCCAATCGTTGGTTTTACTCGACTTCTTACATTTTTGGTTATGTGATACTTACAAAGTAATGTAGATGATATAGAAAACACCATTGCAATTGAATTCACATTTCAATGTCGCGATCGGTGATTATGACTTGTGGCATACTTTTTTGGTCCTTCAATATACTCTTACACATTTCCAAAGCCCATGTAACATTGTCCTATTTTTCGGATTCCAAAAATGCAAAGTCGGTTGAATAAATCATCTTCGTAGAAGTAACACCAACAATTTCTAAGAGTGAAAGTCTATACTTGTTTGTTTTGTATGTTGAGTCAATTATGAGCACGAGAGAAACATGTTGAACAACTTCACAGAATAAGGATGACTCCAAAATATATCTCGAATAATGACTTTATCCTCGCATACTCTGTACCTTAAAACATAGTCTTCATCTTCCAAAAGCTTTAACAATTGTTGCTATTAGCTTAGAATTTCAAGTTGAAGAAAAGTTAGCAAGGAAGACTACGTTGAGGAAATACTAAGTATTGACAAGCTTCGACAAGAACAAACACGTTGACTGAAGCGTTTTGACTAACATGCTGGACATGGTTTGAAAGAGTCTCAATAATAGATATTGAATATGGTTTGGAAGAATCTCAATAATAAATCTATATGATCATTCGACACCATGTCGATGTTTAAGCATTTGAAAGACGTCAAGGACTTTGAATATTTTGGAACCTAAATACTTGAAAAAAGTTATTCAACACTAGATTTATTCATAAAACTACCTTTGAAAAGTAGGCAGATACATGCTGGGAGCAATTATGAACGTGGGATAATAGTTTTCAATAGTTTGTAAGTTCTGACAATGTGGTGGTGCTTCAGAAGACTATGTTGCATGTTCTTGATACCTGTCCATTTCCTATGCATGAATTGCCGAAGATAGTTATCTTTAGTTTAGTATAAATAGTAGACTCATACATTGTAAACAAGGTCACAATAATTCATATATATCTTTATAGAACTGGAGTACCCAAGTCAAAGAGCGAAACAGTTTGTGAGTAACATTTATGAGTCTACATCCCTTTTCTACATTGTTTTTACGTTTCCTTAACTCGACCATTTTGCTTTAATTGTCATTTATTGCAATTTTTCTGTTTGATGTTATTTATTGCATTTTTCGCTTATTACATTGATTCAAGCTTTTTTGCCATCAAAATTTATGTCCAATTTGTCTTCGTACAAACATTCACATTTAATTCACAAACATTTTCCCTTGTACAATTATTTTGCACAAATTGCTTTCGAGATTTTTTAAGTTAATATCACAAGTGAACTAAATTCGTGATTGTTTGTTAAAAACACCTAAGACTAGTTGTATCTCAGATCTTGGTCCTCTTACTGCCTTGTTGTATTAAGCACACACGTTCCATATTTGTTTGATATTTGAAACATTAAGTGGTTTTGTCTGCTTCAAAGACATGATTATGTTTTTTGGAGCCACCTTGTTTAATATCATGTCCAAAACAAGTTCACTCTCATCTGGCATAATGGGGCATACAATGGGATGGACGACTAGCTTGTTATCCAAGACATGATTATGTATAGCGAAAATCACATTAAATTTCCATGTCTCATGGTATCAGCGCAATTTAAATAGACACTCGCAATTCCTCGATCTAGTGTCATCTCGTTTCAACCTCCTAATCCTTGGTTGGTAAGTGCCACTTATTTCGCATAACATTGTTACAAATGCTTGTCTTCAATCCGAACCATTGTCGTACCTTCCTATTATGACACCAAACTCCAATTTTCCGGCCTTTATACGAACTCATTATAACATATGTTTACGAACAAAAAACACTTATTTATTTGTAAATTATGCACGAACATCTACCTCTACACCGACAGATTAAGCACCCGATTTAACGTTATCATTTGCTTCATTCGGTTGAATGTCATCATTCACTTAATCCGATTTAACATCATGCTTCACTTTGACGGATTTAACATCCACACTCACAATATCTTTAGAAAACATATATGAGTGCACCATATCTATTTTCACCAATAACAGAAAAACAATGTGAAAACAGAAACTATTAGGACACTCTGGAGATGCACATTCGGACCACACTAAACTTCTTCCGTAAATGCATATTCGGACTTAACGTTAATTTTCAGCTCAAAATTAAGATTAATGTAAGGAATGAAGGATGAAATGAGTTATCTTTTCTTGCAATTCCAACTTGTTTTCCTCCCTTTGAAGTGATTAAATACAAAAATGATATTTTGATGTTGAAAAGTTGATTGAGAATGAGAGAAGATTTTTTTAAAATTTTAAAATGGTTTTTTGTTTTAGCATGAAAAGAAGATCATGCAAGATGGTGTTACATGAAACATTTACATAATAATAAATGAATTTGAGAAATATTTTAGAGATATATCTCCGAATACACTCAATTAATATATAAATATGCTTTTTCAAATTATATTTTTATTTTAATTTGATTTTCGGTGCTCAAAGATAAATAACAATTAAAATTTTTTTAAAATGTAATATACATGAAAATAATATCCCCTCTATTTTTCCTAATAGCTATCCTACTATTTTCTATATTTTTGTTATATTGATAGCTAAGTTAACATGAGTGAAAAACATTGGCATTTAAACAAAAATAATAAATTATTTGTATTTAATTTTTCTTTCGCATTCATTAGATTTACTAGATTTACTATCATATGATTAATAATATTATTGTTTAGAGAATGTGTAGCTATACTTGCCTCTCTTTTTTGAAATCAGATCCTCTTTTTCATCTCTTCATAATGTAGTGATCAGTAATTTCTAAATAATACCGATCGTATTAAACGGCCGACATGATGTCACTTTACTACCTGCTAAAATCAGAACGACGTCGTTGAACTTAAGAAAGGTGCAAAATGTAAACGCGACACGTTGCTGTGTGATTACGTGGCAGAGTAATAGCGTCTTGTTTGGGAGTCTGGAAATTACAAGAAAACGTGTTTTCACAGTGGCACAGTCTAAATGGCTTTTCCTCTTATGGTAAGAAATCCTACATTCCACACTCACCAATTCACCGCATTATCTTCCTTCAGAGCCAAATCACTTTCCATTCTCAATTTCGCTAAGGTAAATTACAGTTCATCTTCGTCTTGTTAGGGTTTCATTGCAAAACGCGTGAAATTTTCTGTATCATTAATAGCATTTTTAGTTGTTGTTGTTGTTAGATGGAAGGAAGTGAAATCACTGAAGTAGCACAGAGAGTAGGTGATGATGATTTGAGTTTGAAGAAGAAGATTTTTGTTGCTGGAGCTACTGGTAGCACTGGGAAAAGAATAGTTGAACAGTTGCTAGCAAAGGGATTTTCTGTTAAGGCTGGGGTTAGAGATTTGGACAAGGCAAAGACCACACTTTCATCTACCAATCCATCTCTACAGTTTGTAAGTTTTCTTTCCCATTTTCTTGCAAATTAGGTTAATTTGCCTTTTATATTATATAAATTGAATTTGATAGTGATTGAGTTTGTCTAAGTGATTTTGATAAAAAAAATTGGTGTTAATGGATGTGAATGAGGTGATGTGTAGTTTAGGATTTGGGTGGAGC